CTTTATAAATTTACTGAACTAAAACATGTCTGCAACAAATAAAATCGTAAGCCCAAAGTCTGGTCTTCCTTTGGTGATGTTCAAATTAAAAAAAAAATTGTAAAAAAAAAAAAAAAAAAATCTGACCGACCGACCTAATTTTTCAGATCCCATATAATGCAAAACGAATAATTAACTTTGCGTGGCCTTATATGTTTATGTGTAATATAAGATATTGCTATAATGCACATGCAATCCCCCCACCCCAAAAATATTACGTAATAAATGTCAGCACCCTAACACTATACAGAAAAACATTGATATCAATAGTATTGAAGTTGATGTAATATAGTAACAGATAATGCTGTTAAGAATGATATTAAATGATAATTTTAAAGTAATAATGATTTGGTGATATCTCAATAAGGATGATAATGAAGCAGATAATTAGGTAAGTTAGGCAATAATTTTAAGTTTGCACAATGGATTGATACAAAAAAGAAAAAAGAGTATTAATAATATATTTTACAAGAAAAAAAACTAAACAACAAAAAATTAATTATGCCCATCCAAAATTAAAAACTCAATTCTAAAACATCAAGAAAGAAACACCAAGAGAGAAGAATAGGCATTAGTTACATATTTTACAAAAAAAAACCAAACAAAAAAGTAATTATACCTACTCAAAATTGAAAGCCCAATTCCAAAAAACCAAGAGAAAAGTATCAAGAAAGAAAAATGAGCATTAGTAATGTATTTTACAAGAAAAAAGTTAAACAACAAAGAAATAATTCTATTATCAAAAATCAAAGGCTCAATTTCAAGAAACCAAAAGAAGTACCAAGAAAGAAGAATAGAGGTTAATAATGTATTTTACAAGAAAAATTCATACAATAAAGAAATAATTATGCCCACCCAAAATCAAAGGCCCAATGCCAAGAAACTAAGAAAGAAGCACCAAGAAAGAAGAATGAGCATTAGTAATATATTTTACAACAAAAAAGTCAAACAATGAAGAAATAATTATGCTCAACCAAAATCTAAAACCAAATTTTAAGAAACCAAGAGAGAAGCACCAAGAAAAAAGAATAGGCATTTAGTGACCAGGAATGGGGCGCTGCGCAAGTACCCTAGCCATACAGAAAAAAGGTGACAGTCACGTGATTTTCGAAATCTGGCCAATTAGATAGAAAGATCAGGTGTAACGTAAAAATAACGCTTTTCTGTTTCTTTTGAAAAATCGTCAATAACTCGAAATTTCACTTATGAAACTACCTTCTGCGTACTAACAAAAAAATTACCTGCTAAATTTTGGTATATATTATGCTATATTCTAACCTAGATTCTAACTCTAACAATAAGTTATTACTTCAAATTATTCACTTATCCGATTGTTTTGATTTTTGCTGATTGGCCAAAATCACGTGACTACCGCTTTTTTCTGGACGGCTAGAGTACTCCGCTGCGCCGGAGGAATATTTTGGAGCTTCGGAATATTCCGGAATTGAACGATTCTGACCCGCTTTAGCAGAAAATTACCGTAATGCGGGTCTGTGAAGGCTGCAGCCTGCACGGTAGATTTAAAAAATTTTCCCATCCCTAGGTCTGACTGTATTGGCGATAGTGATAGTCAACTGCTTAGTATGTCCTGCAAAGTACCCCAAAATCAAGAATCTAATAAAAAAAATCACGTCCAACTGATTACCCCTCCAACTGATTACTTTTTTCATACGTCCGTACGTAGCGAAATTTAATCTATCGTTTTTATGATTACTGCTTATTTAACTTTATTTATCAGATCTGGGGACTGGCAAAAAGGTCTAATTTACAAAATCCGCCTAAGGATTGAACCCGTTGCAAAAAATCTGGCCCGGGTTAATACGGGTAAAATGCCGATTTGCAAAGATATGCAATTTATTTGGCCAATGCATATATGACACCCCTTGTTCTTCCACAAAAAATGGTTCGCCCCTGTAATTTTGACCAATCGAATTTCAGGATCAGGTGTAACGTAACAATCGAAACGAAACCACTTGTTTACAAAAACAAACAAGAACAACTCTAAATTTTAATTAGGAAGCCACCTTCTGCGGCCTAATTAAAAATGTTCCTCTTATTTTACACGACACTTTTTTACTTGAAAACAAAACACGTTTGTTTGGAACCTGATATTAAATTTTGATTAGTCAAAATTACCGGGGATGAACAATTTTTTGTGGGAACGCTACCTAAAATGTGCGGATATAGGGGCGTACTTTTCTTTAATACTGTAATATAATCTCTACTGTGCACTCACGCTAATCCCGGGATCTATTATAGGTTTTAAAATTGGTGAAAGTATGCATTCGATTATTATTGTGCCATATTAATTGTATAGTCAATTTTTTTTTTATTATAATAGCATCTTATTGTTTAACCTATTTTACCCGGGTAGTAAAATTTTTACCCAGTTATATGACCTTCCAGCGGGTAACACGGGTAACCCAGATACGGTTCAATCTCTAAATCCGCCGATTTTTTTTAAATGTGCATTTCTTATTCTTATGTGCCTGTTTGAGCAATTTTTTAAAATTGAATTTTATTATTTTTATGTATACAATTATTATAATCATTAATTCGTTTATGAGCCATGTGATCATTATAATAAAGTATGTCGAGATTTTTTTCACAGGTGTATACATAATACACATGGGATAAATATGGAAAGCGGCAAAAAAATCGGGATAGATATTGTCGAAATATTAGTATAGAGTCAAGAATGAATGTGTACAGTGCAGTTAAAGGTTAAAAAGGGATGCGACAATCGCAAAGAAAGACAAACCACCACATTCCAATGCAGTTAAAGGTTAAAAAGAGATGCGACAATCGCAAAGAAAGACAAACCACCACATACATAATAAGTACAATATTTATCTTGAGGATCATAGCTACGAGCCATTGGTAACATTCCGTGTAAGATTACATAAAGTAAAGTACCGGTGACAATAGAAAAAAGAAAACCGGAAATAGCATCGTTCCATACGGTGACAAAGATAACATAACCCAAAACAGCTCCCAACATTTGAGTAGTAACGCCAACAGATGCAGCGATTAAGAAAGCTTTTAATCGAGAACCTGTGGCGTAATATATTGGTAAAGAAATTATAAGACCTTCAGGGATTTTACTGAAATTAGAAATGTTTATGTTAATGTAGGAATTAAAATGATTTTAAAATAAAGTAAAAGATATTTACTGTAAGGAAAGTGCGATCGCATATATAACACCGATTTTAGCATTCGCAATCGCGGTCGCAAAAGCGGATAATCCTTCTGGAAAATTGCTATAAAATCAAATAAATAAAATAAATAAATAAATATATACATATATACAGCAGTACCCGGATTATCTTACCCATTTTTTCTACATATGTTTTAATTTTTTATGAGATATAACCAGTGTTTAAAATTCGATGTTCTCAGTGTTCTCTGAGAACATGTAAAAATGTTTATGAACATAAATTAATGGAAAATGTTCTCTATTTGAGAACATTTACCAAATTTTTTTAATATTAAAAAATTTTTGATTTTCTAATTTTGAGAACATCAAAAAATTTTCGAAAACATTAAGAATTCAAAAAATGCTTTTTTGAGAACATTTGATTTAAACGATATAACTAAGGTAACAGATAATCCAGGTTCGACTGTATATATTTCTTTTTTATTTAGAAATGAATAACTTACTGAAGAGCCAAGGCAATAGCAATTTGAATGCCCAAATTTCTGAGTCTATGAGCATCATCAGATCTTACCACTGTTGTTGGCAAATTTTTATCTATGCCATCAGTTTTTTCAAGATCATTATTAATTGATTCGCCTTCGGGTTCAAGATTATTATTATGCAGGCCATGATTATGATTATGACCAAAATAATATTTCCCTATCATAATTATTATAATCGTAACAATGAATATAGAAGCGGCCACAATGTCAGCGTATTTCGGATCGAAAAGTTTTGAATTCTGGAATGATGATATCGCCTCAGGGTAAAGATCGCCTAATGTGAGAAATAATAATATTCCAGCAGCAAATGATAACGAGCCAGCGAGAAAGCCTTTTGACTTCGTGATTTGAAAATCTTTAGTCCACGAAAAATATGGAAATATAAGATCTAATAATGGTGCGAAGGAACCTAGGGCAGAGCAAAATGCTGCAAGAGCAGTAAGCCCGAATCCAAGGCCTATGTTTCCAGTGGCTAAAGTCGAATGGTCTGTGGCATCTACAGAAGGTGGAGGAGGAAGTTTGGCATTATCAGTTCCATGAGCTATGATACTTGGCGGGGCCAATGAGATGACTAAGCCTAAAAAAATTAATAAAATCTTGTTTGTTATTCGTAATGACATGAAGGAAAGAATATATCTATAGCAAATAACTAAAATTTAGAATACAAAAAAAAAGCAGAGCTTTTGAATTGTAATTCTCGAGGATTTGGTGATTCAGATAAGTATAATTTTATATGGTAGTTAATCCTCGTTTAATTTCTTTGAACATTTTAAGGTTAGCAGTTTTTTTTTTAAGAATTGTCCTATTTCTTTATAACAGCTTTATGAAATTTGTGGTCATGGTATAACGATAAACATGACACAGTTTCATTGACCAAACAAATGGAGCAGGCCGTGTAAATAAATGTTGCCTTATGTGCAAAATATTTAATTAACTGTTTCACTATTGTACGCGGGAAAGAATATATGAATGCTGCCAAGAGAAAGGGGTACTTTATTAACATTTTTTAAACCTTTGATTAAAGATATTTCAATAACTACTTGATCAAATTTAATAAAAATTTTTTTATTTGAATTCTATAAAATCTGTAGAATTCAGGTAAAAAATTTGATCAAGTGATTTTTTTGAAACATCTTTAATCAAAGTTTTAAAAAATTTTAATAAAGCTTAACGTTCCCCTTTTTTCTTAGCAGCACTAATATATAGAAAAGAACTTTTTTAGCAAAGTAAAAAAGGTCAATTGTTTCTATTTATCGTTATATAGTTTCACAAATCTCCAGTTTTAGATTTAAGGACAATCCGAAATAAAATATATATTACTAATAGAAAATTGTGAAACATTCATCTGAACTTTATCTTGAACTTTATCTTGAAAAGATTATCATGAATTACATTTTTACCTGTTTTCGAAGATTATTTGAAGTGCAATACATATAAAGGATAGTACAATTCATAGTTTTTGGATTTAAGGATAAAATTTATATTACTATGGAAAATTGTGAAACATTCATCTGAACTTTATCTTGAACACAGTGTTGGATTTAAGGATAAAATTTATATTACTATGGAAAATTGTGAAACATTCATCTGAACTTTATCTTGAACACAGTGTTTGTACGTTGGACAAAAAAAAAATCGACCTTTAATAAATAATTATATATTATTGAATATTTGGTTGGATTCTAGTTAAATTTTTTATATAAACGCTTTTATAAATTTAATCCAATAATTAATTAAGTATTGGACAGTATAAATTTTAAATGTCTTCTAAGTTCATTGAACCCATTGGACCGACATCATTGACAATTTATAACGATACACAGGTAGAACAATAACCCTTATCAACAACCATTCTTTCAAAAATCCTTGGCGTGATATGCAACCTTTCTGAATATCTTCTAAATATTTTCCAACCTTTTTATATTACATGTGAAAGAGATACGGAAAGAATTTCGATAACAAAGAAAATATTTGGAAAAGTTGTATATCGCGCCAAATATTTTTGAAAGAATACTTGTGAAAAAGGCTTATTGTTCTACCTGTGATAGATTATCATATGATTATATTTTTGAAGATTATTTGGTTTTATTAACAATACATATAATCTTTAACCTACGTTGAGAAAGAGTAGACCGTTGCCAAGGTGGTTTGAAACGAATCCTACCACATAGAGTTAATACAAATTCAACTTAGTGGAATTACAGTATCTAATACAGTCGGCCCCCTCTAAATGACTCCCTCCTAAGTGCATGACCTCCTTAAATGTATATTAATTTTCTGGCCCAAATATATACTAAACTCCCATAAATGCATTTATTATTATTATTCTCTAAATGCAAGCCATCAAAAGTTTGGTCCCGATGATATGCATTTACGGAGGGTTGACTGTATATCAATTTAGTCAATTTAGCAAATTTAGCAAATTTAGCAAATTTTAATTTAGTCAATTTAGCAAATTTAGTGAATTTAGCAAATTTAGTCAATTTAGCAAATTTAGTCAATTTCGAATTTTGTAAATTTAGCAAATTTAATGAATATATCCATTATGTTCACACTAATAGTGCGAAAGTAAAATCTCTATCTTTTACTTCTAATAAACAACAGAGCTCAATTGGAGTTCAATATTCTAAAGTGTCTCGCTCTACAAATCCTTCGATAAGTAAAATCTATAATAGCGATAGGAATCACTGCCTAAAACCCATGATAAAATCCTGAGCTCTAATTGACTCTAATTACTAGGGCCAAGTTTTTCACGCCCAATCGTAGTTTTACCATTATTGGGATTAAGTTAAAATAGTTTAGTTAGTGTTGTGGTTATATTTGTGTTATCTGTATTTTGACCTATACCTAGTCCGGAACATTTTCCCATAAACGTAAATTTCATGCGTTGAAGAATTCTATTTGGTTTGAAAGTTTCAGGCATAGTTACAAATATTCCTTATTATCCAAAGCTTTCATGAATTACGTTTGTGGCAACCAAATTTTTGTAACTTTAGGTTTGATGAACAAAATGGACAGTCAATTGTTTAGACTTTACTTTTCTCATATCACTACGTGTGTGCTGATATTATGTACTCAAATTGGTCTTTGCTTTAAAAGTCAAAATACAGAAAGCTGATCCACAATAATTATTGTTGCGGCTGAAGCTGGAAACGGCTGAAGCTGGAAATTTTAAATATTTTATTATGAAATTTTCAAAA